GTTGTTGGGCAAATTTTATAAGAAATTTGAAGTGTTAAATTAAAAATTACCAAATAAATACTTCATCTAATAACTAATTATTTTCATTACTTGTGATTACTTTACTAATATAGCTTGAAGAATATCCGGGAACAATATCGAAATGTAAGTACGTATACAGATTTTTATCTTCATATCAATTAAGAAATGTTCCGTCAGTCTGATTCATCGAAGGACCCTGAGATATGGAAACTAATTAGGAAAATATCTCACAAACAAAGTTCAAATAACAAGATAAGCAAGTTCAAAGAATAGTAAATTGTAATAGATTAGAAAATGAAATCGATAATAAAAGGAAATAAAGTCGTTTAAGTGTGATAAGAAACAAAAGAAGTCAACGACATTGATTCACAATGATATGCTGTATATCATATAATTGCTGGGATAATCAAAACAGCTTTAAAGTAAATTTTAAATTCGAATTACATTTAGTGTCTTTATACGTAATTATGGATTAGAGCGCGAAAAATTATCCCTATTTTGAACTTTTATCGCTCAAACAGTAATTTTATAAAAATAATAATAATTAAAAAGAGGAGTTATTAGACAGGGTACAACATACAAAAGCGTATATTTATAATTCTTAAATCTTACCATAAAGCCATCTCATAATTTGCTTGTAGTCTAACAATAAAATAAATTTAAGTAAATAGAATATAAGAAATAATTTCAATGGTAATCTATGTATTTTTCAAAATAAGATATAAAATCTTTGAGGAAAATATTTGGACAGTTTTTGATTAGTCATTTACTTATACTTTAAACAAAAAACAAAAAATGTAAAATACAGGGTGTTCCCTAAGTACTTCTACATGAAAGAATGATTCTTTCGAAATACAGAGTACAATAAATATTTTTTCTTGAAATATCATTAACAAAATCTGTTATCTTAATCTATGATGAAATACCCAAAAACTTCTTTTACCCAAACTTAATTTTAAAAAGCTAAAATAAGCCTAAAAATGTTTTTCCAATTCTCATTAGATGAAGTCATATATTCAATTTGACACCAACCTTTAGGTATACTAAAAAGCAACTTCAAAGACAAGCTATCAATGATAATAGAAAACTATACTATATAAAGTTGGAGGTCCATGCAACTTTGCATTATGACTTCAATCTCAGCAAAATAATGTTACTTTGTGGTATACACTTTCCCCAGAAGATTCCTCACAGATATAAGCGCTTGAAAAAAATATTCTTATACTTCGAGAGACATTTTTTTAAACTTTGTATGAACGAATAAGAAGTGAAATTTTACAAATCACTATGAGAGTAGATTTCTGGTCAGTTTTTGATTGAACTGCTAAACTAGATAAAAAATAAATAATATAAACTTATACATGGTGTTCCTTAAGTCTCTGATATGAAAGATATGATGTTTGCAAATACAGAGTACTGTAATTCATTTTTCCTTGAGACACCATTTACAAAATCCATTTTCGTCTTAATCTATAGTCAAATTAAAAAATAGCAAGAAACATCACTTACTACAAAAGATGTTAAGCTAATTCAAGTTTTAAAATGTTTTTAAAATTCTCATTTGTTAAAGTCACATATTCATTTGGAACCAACATTTATTTAGATACTAAAGGCAACTTCATATTAATGATATTGTAGAAAACTATACTACAATGCAGATTAAGACCCCATCCAGCATTGAATTACACCTGCAATATACTATGTGATTTACTTTTTATCACGAAAACTTCGACCATCGATAGATCTAGGCAAAATATTGTCATTTTGTGAGTCATTTTCTCCAGAAGTTTCCTCATAGACAGATATAAACACTTGAGAAAAAAAATTCTTAAACTTCCAGTCATTACTTTTAATTTTGCATGAATTGTACGAATAAAAAACACATGAATCATAGACGTCTGTACGGGGCTCTCATTACAACAAACTAAGACAACTGGAAATTTTTTAAAATGAATATATTTTAAAAAAATTAACGGTTTATTCTAGAGCAAAAAGGTCTCTTCTATTAATAAATTAAATGATTAGTTTTTGAGGAGAATGGGTACTTTTGAAGACACTTCAACTGCAGGTAAACAGGGTAAAAGAGCAAGACAATTTAAATTTATGATTAAGGAGTCCGGAATGTATCAATATTTTAAATTGGCATCATTCACAAGTCACAACCTGATATCGGCCCCATTGCTTAAATTAATGTAAATCCTATGGATTATTTCGTTTAGTAATTTATTAAATAACAGGTGTATAGTTCATAAAATTGTACTCCTGAAATTTTGAAAAGGATCATTAAAAAAAATTGAGAAATGTTTAAACACAACTCCGGTATGATTAGGAGAGTAGTTTGAAGTATTTTGAACATTTGTTGTGATGTTTTTTTAATTGTTCTCTATTCTTTGTTTCTTAAAATAGTAAATATTTTATTATGCATTTCTTTGTTTAATAGTTACACAGGCACTAAATCAATTTTTCGCAAATCTTTTCGCTCTAGTATTATTGAAAAAAAAATAAAATTCTGAGAAGTTTCTAGTGTCGTAGAAACTATCTTCAAATTATCAGAGCCCCTTACAGATGCTCTGATTAATCTACTTTCATAGTAATTTGTAAAATCGGTAGAACATTATATTCGTACACTTCATACAAAGTACAAAAGAAATGACTTACGTAATTTGAGAATAAATAGAAACCAGAGCAATTTTGTTTTTCAATGGCTTAATTCCTTAAAGGGAGATGAAGGATGTTGAAAAGGTGTAGGGCACAAAATGAAATTATTTTAGCGAAATCAATAGATGATTAAAGTTGTAATTATAAAAAGTGAATTTACCTGTACATTAAACATTTTATATTTCATCCATATTAATTAATAATTATCTAAAAAGATAAAAATAAGTTGTTTCCTTGAATATCTATTGTGATAAAATGTTTGAGTTTTTTACTGCTTGTTATTTAAGTTGGTATCCCATTTATTAAATTTACAGTAAAATGATAACTATAGAAACGTACCAGATACAGCTCTGAAGGTTCAAAAATTTAAGTTCAAGTGGTGATTGTATCTGATACAAGACTATCGCAAATAGAGGGTGGGTCAGATATCAGTCTTGAGGACAGTCGAAAGTAATTGATAATATGTAATTACTTTTTTATGTATAAATTTATATAAACAGCAGAAAATAATACAATTTCAATTGCAAGCCCTTAATGAAAAATTATATGCTGTATAAGTACTAAAATTATTAAACGGTTTTTTGAAATATTACGAGTGTCAGTTATGAAATATAAAAATTCATTGCTTGACAATAAATAATTGTCATTGTTTTCTGAAATTTTGGTATAATTCTTCTTCATTATCTTGAATGGAATAAAATTATTTTTTATATCTGATTATCGTAAGACGTTTCAGTACTTTCCTAAACATTTCCAGATATTCCAAATAGTTTCTTATTGAAATTATTGAAAATCAATGCAGGAAAATCGATTTCTTTAAAGTGAAATTTTATGTATATAAGTTTTGAAATTCGACAGAATTATGAGAATGTAAATAATAAAACAAAATAGTTGAATTCATAACAGATAGGTTAGTTATATTTAACTGTGCTAAAGACTAAACATGAATATTACGAAAACTGTCAGCTCCATTTGAAGTAAATGTAGCCTCGTCCATAATCAAAATGTGACTATAAGGCTGAACTTGTAAAAAGAATGGATTTGTTATTGGGTCTTCGTTAATAAGATTCAGAATTTGTTTCTCCCAATGCTGGTTTTGCAGTACTTTAAGGCTCCTCGCACGCTTTCCACGATATTCTTCCTCAGATCACCAGTGTCTCTATGCCTCCTACTCCACAATCGGAACAAATGAGCGCGGTGAGAGGTGAATCTGCATGCAAGGAGGAGAAATTTTTCGCGTGTAGCTGGGGTAGAGCAGTGGTACTCCGATGACGTCTCCATAACATGTCATTTAATTTATTACTGTCATTAAAATGAAACTATTTAACCAAAAACTATGTTTAAAATCCGCGATAGAACTGTCACAAACACACAAGACAAGAAATTAAAAACATTAGCAAAAAAGCGGTGAATATTAGATTTATGTACCATTTACTTTGAATATACCGGCGATAGACCTTAAATTTTGCTCGCCTTCAATTTTTTACAACTATGGAAGGCTACAGCTGCCTTATTTTGAAGTTATTTAAAAAAAGTAATTCTTGTTTGAGTAGCTCCCCACAGTTTTAAAAAATATGACCCAACTTATGAATCACCATGTATATTAATGTGAATGTAGCATTTTTATATTTAAAAAAGAGAAAATCGCTCTTGAATTAATCCCACTTTGGTCAATTTCATAGTAATTTAAACAAAAAATAATAATAATCATTTTCCTTTCCTCTCTTTTCCATTTAAAGGATTAATTTTTATTTAATTTAATTTTTTATAATTTTTTTATTAAAATTAGATTAAATTTAAACAAAAAAATTTTTTTTGTTTAAATTACTATGAAATTGACCAAAGTGGGATTAATTCAAGAGCGATTTTCTCAGAAACCGTTAAAGATAACAATTTGAAACAAGAGTACCTTTTTAACGTAAAACAGTTCGGAGAAACAGAATTTGCTGTCCAATTTGTTAAAAAGTCAAAGATGAAAAAGTTACACACACAAAGTACCAAGGGCCCCCCGTACCCACCCCAATGGACCTTGTGGAAATAAATGGATTAGTCCATCAAATTGCTCATAAAAATTTAGCTATGTATACCAAATTTCATTCATTTATCACAACGCGATTGAGAGATATTGCAAAAAAATTATTTCCATCCTCCCTCTTCAATAGGTCCCTGTGCCCTTAGGAAGCATTTCCGGACCCATGTTCATATGAACTTTTTTACTTAGTTTTGATCATAGAATCGGCCTGTTCAGGGTTGGCAGCTAATTATGAGACACCCTGTATACATATTTATAGTACATCGCTTTGGACAACACAATTACTTACTGTAATAATTTTTGTTCAGATTCTTCCTTTTTTGCTCGCGTGTCTTGTAGTTCTCTTCTCAATTCTAAAGCTTCGCGTTCCAATTCAAGTACTTGACGTGCAGTATTAGAACTATCCTCTGTTACAGACGTTGGCGATGGGGTTACAGTACCTTCAGATCTGGAACAATAAGACATGACATAAATAATAGAAAAATGTTACATTTCGCGAGGGTTTGAAAATCTTGTACAAGTTTGTGAATAAAAGACGCTCACGCCAGAACACGAGCTGTCAAAATTAATTGTTACTTGAAGTCACACCTTTAACTACTCTTTTGCTGTATATGTCACATTATTCTAATACATGGCGTCATGACTCACTTAGTTAATCGCATTTTTAATTAGTCTCAAGTGGAATTTTTCCCTCACTTGTGAGGTTTTTAGCTACAAACATGCTCACGCTTATTTATATTAAGGGTGTAATTTTGAATGGGAGTTATATTTATACGGAGGCTACCTTTAACCTTTAGAAACACATATCACAAGTTTTCTGAAATTTCGTTATGAAAACTAAATTTTTCTTATTTTCGTAATCTTCATATCCTACCACTGGACAAGGTAGTGTGACCTCAAACAACGACGGCCGTTAGTTGCAGTGCGTACACATTTGGAAACTGTGGTATGCATTGGTGTCTAATCTCATAAAAAGTGAAGATATGTGAAGAAAAAATAGAAAGATATCAAAGAGATATAAATAAAAAATTTGGCAAATTTCCAAACCATCCGCCGCAAGCTACTGCTCTTTAGAGCTTTGAATGTTTGTCAGGAGCCCTATCATACCACATAAAGAAAATTTAATTCTTTTAAATAAGATAAACTATGAAATAGTACCTAACAAGTAATCTTTGTTCTTACTCAACTGATTTTTGCAGCATTTTACACAAATTTTGCAGCTAATCTTCGAGTAGTGGTACCAGGATCCTCTTCCACGGCGTTTAAAATTTTTGGTTTCCAAAATCACTCTCTGAGTTTGTTCCCGTCTAACTTTAACGTATTGGTGTTTAAAGCTCCCTTAATCTTTTAAATGTTGAACCAATCTTGCAAACATTTTCTTATACGGTAGTTGCCGGTCGGGATAATCCATCTGATATGGTCTTCTAGCAATTGCATCGTTTTCTCCAGACAAAAGTAGGCTATAACCATGTCAACTGTTTCTTGATTCGTATACATGCTTTTTCATATCAGTCAAAAATACACAAAAATGCACTCACTAAACACTGAAATAAATAACTTTATAAGGAACACTTATGTATACTGCCCATTATGACTAGGCTTAGTGCAGCACGGAGTTTAACAGGACCGTAGTCAGATTACGAATGAAAATATTAATATGTTTACAGTATAAATTTAAATGACACCACTTACCCGATAAACCGTAGTATTGAGAAAAGGCTTCCGTGGCATATTGGAAGAAGCTAAAACATATTACTACGTGCTTTTCTAAGTTTTCTTTAGTGAAACGGCGACGTTTTTCACTTAATATTAACTTGTGTAGGAAAAATGACCGTTCGACGTCTACTGTTGACAATGGGCAATATAAAAAATTGTTGAACGATATAAATATATTTGCTGGTAACTCCTGATATGTACCAGATAAAACTTTACATATATTTTCCAAAATGGTGTATCCTGAATTTTTTCCAACACTCTTCGCATTTTTATCGTACTACTGACTAAGCATATATTATTTATTGGCATCTTATATATTTTTTGTACATCATCCATTATATTAAACTGTTCATTTACGGATAGTCCATGTGATTCCTATTTATTTACTGAATTACGGAAGGGCTTTTCAAATGTCATGTCATTTTAATTTTGTAACAAGAATTTATAATGCGTTTACACACAGTACAAAACAGGTCATTTCCTTTAATACGTATGTCCCTATAACCTTCGGGATCACTGTCAAACCACATTTCAAATAATTCCCGTCGATTTCTTTTCTCCTTTGGCATTTTACTTCAACTAATAATTATTAATATAAATTTATGTTACTATTTATAAATAGTTATTTGAATACACACGGCGAATACAATTTAGAGCTGACGTAAAAAAGAAAGGTGTTGACGCGACACCAACTACTACAAGTTTCCATAAATAACTGAACAGTTCAAAACGCGAGTCAGTTGTGAAGGCCACCGACCCCCGCGCCGGTTCTGTTAGACTCTGCACATACACTAAACCTAATATGACGTATTCGGTTTTGCCGAATTAACGTGGTAGTTTATTTTATTACAGTAGGTTCTTCAGCTAAGAGAAGTTCTAGTTGTGGGAGATGGGTTAAGCTTACGTTACTTTGTGAATTCACGCATTTTTATGAAGAATCACATTCTTGTGACACAAACCAGGACGTTTTTGGTCAATAGCCATGCGTAATTTTATTAACCTATTTCCGTTATTGTAGTGACCTTAGGCATATATTTAACAAGAACTGTTTCTGTTTGGCTCCAATTTTGTTCTGCATATCATCGCGTCTGACAATCTTAGAAGAAAGTTAAGGTCCGCACCCAAAGATTTCAAATAATTTTAATAAATTTGTTAGCGAAGCAGGTGTTTGTACAGTAATCAACAATTCTGAAACCCACCTTGTTAAAATTTTACTCATGCCTAGTTTACCATGCCCATGCCGAAATGCTTGGTTCAGATATGTTCAGATAGCACTAGTAGGCACTTTCAAAGAAAGGTTTTCAGAAATCATTGTTTCCACTTAAACGCAAACATCAGCATTGGTTACGTCTGGAGGTCTCGCACTTTGTATCATTATCTTCAATGGATTCATGACCCTATCAAAACTTTCTTGGTCAATATTTTATATTAAAATATGATGGAGCTTCGTCCCCATGTACTACAAATGTTCTTTTGTGAATATTTCAAATTTTTTTTTGTTTGTTAGAAAATTTGTTGACATCGCAGATTGCCATTACACAAAACCCATTTATTATTGTAAAATACATCATAAAATACAAAATCATCGATCAATACATTTTAAACGCATTTTTCTTTGATGTGTTATCAGAATTACTCTTCATTAAGCTTTCCAAAAACTAAATCGCTACGTACCTACAACGAAGGTTCTTGTGCAGAAAAACGTCTATATGCCAGTGTCATAGCTGAAGGTTCTTTTGAAAATACTATGTTAAATCGTTTGCTGCAAACCCGTTTCTTAGAGAAAATGTGTGAAAATGAAATGTCTTCGATGACATCACATCTCTTACGGTATCGGCAGTAAACATGATGGACTTTTTACTCAAATACTTATAACACCATGCCATAAAGATTCTCGCTTGTGGTTTCCTAATTGCTCTAACCACCTGTTCTGGGCCACCCTGTAACATACATTTTGGATGATCCTCCATAATTAAAAGCCGTTTTGATGTTACCATTTTTTTTAAGAATATGTATGTGAAAACGCATGACAAAGCAACGTCATTGCCACTTCATAAAAAAAAAAACGAGCACCGAATAGCGTGCACAGAAGGCACATAACCCATCATCTGCATTACCGAGTCATCACTGCAGGAATCGCCACGGCGACCACGCTTCGTGCTCGTCGGTCGACTGCTGATAGGGACGGAACATGTCTTATCGCGGCCCATACTTTCCGGCTGCACAAACATGACCGCCGGCCGTTCCATAGAAAATTACGCCGGTCTGAGTTATGGGCGACGAGCGGGAGCTGTTTCCACCGAATATACACGGTGTCCCACGAGTAGGTGTACAAACTTTAAGGGATAAAAATAGGTATATAGAGACGTCCCACGTCATATTTACTCCCTTTTGTCTAAAACTTGAAGAAACATATAAACACGTTTGACAGCTCAAAATCATCTTTATATTTTGGAAAAGGGAGTGAAAAATCAGTTTTCGAAATATCAATATATTCAGCAAAATAAGGCTCTTATCCATCTAGAAATAGTCAAAAAAAAAACCGGTACTCCACAATTTTTAAGTAATATTGAATCTAGAAACCCTGAACCTAAAACCTAGGTAGATATGAAATTTGTAATAATACTCAGAAAACTACAGAGACCTGGGGACTTTTGGTTATCATTTTTGGTGACTACAGAGAAACTAAAAACCATGAAACCTGAATACCATGACCGCAAGATCCTGAAACTTAAACTGCCAGTTTTTGAAAATCTCGAGTATTGTTGCCCGGAACTACAAAACAATCTTCGATGTGTTTCGATTGGATGTTATTCCAGTAGTTCAGAATCATCGAGTAATATCGAATCTAAAGCCGAGAGATATAGCGAAGGTTTCAGTGCGTAAGTCTTCCTGAAGTCATCAAGAACTTTCATCAAAAAGGCAATTTTTTTAATCTAGGTATTAGTTTTTCATGATCAAGGTATTCAGGTTTAACGGCTCCTAGTCTCCTTGCAGTCATCAAAAGGAGTAACGGGAAGTCCCTAGTAGAATATACTTTGTGCTTTTTCTGATCGTGTCCTAAAATTTTCTGACGAGCCGTGTGACTAGATTATGCTCATTAGTTTAGACTTTTTATGTTCAATATTACTCGATGATTCAGAACTACTAAAATAGCATGAACTATTTTCAGTTGAAACATATCTAAGATTGTTCTGTAGCTCCATATTACACATACTATAGATTATCAAAAACTTGCAGTTCATTTTTAGACTCAAAAACTTTATTGCGTCACATGACGATTAACTCAGTTATTAAAGTATACTAACTACTCTTGTAAAAAAAATTTTTTCAACAAGAAGTCGTTCTTTATAAAAATTTTTGCTTGTCTTGAAACTTCGATAACCAGATTCAGAAAACTAAATATTTATATGGAGCGTTCACAAAATTGAAAAAATCCAAAATTGCCTCAAGAGTAAAACGACCTTATTTTAAGGATCTACAAAATAAAAATAAAAGTTATTTCTAATACTAAGGAAAGCTCAAATATCGAATATCGACAAATTCGGTTGAACTTTATAAAATTCATTTTCTTTTCTCCCAATATGAGACAAATATGCGCGAAATTTGTTTCATAACTTTAAAACATAAAATATTGACTATAAGATTATCGCTATTATTTCTGAATCAAAAATCAATAGGCAGTTGTCAGTATTGTCTAGATGACATCCCTGTCAATTTATGCTATTGTTG